GCAGTGGGTACTCCTTGAGATTCGTTTGCAAATCAGATGAGCAAGCACACGTTCTTGCATGCATATAAAACATCCACTATTGATTCGGTTCACCTTTCAAAGGGACATTTAGGGATTTTATGCTGCGGATGCTAATTGTGATTTGCAATTTGGGTTAAATATATATAGAAACAAACAAACCGAGAAAAATGAAATTGAAAAAAAAAATGGAACCTCAATGATACGCCTCAAACGTAGTCATTGATTCGCAAAACTGAACGTCTAAGAGTAAATGATAATCCAGATTTTTTTAATTTTGCATTCAATAGCGACAGGTGCAACCGGTTTAGCGCAACTCGTAAAATCTCGACAAAGTGAACAGGCATCTGTGTGCCATTTATTGGCCGGCGCAGGTTTGTGAAGCGACAGTGCAGTAAGGACGACCGACAATCTGAAAGCCAGAGCCCCCCTCGTCGCATACACACTTGTATGCGCGCACACACAGACGCACACACAAACCGTTGGTTCGCATCATGGCTACCATCAGCAGGAACCAATCAGATTTGATGAATAATTCAATATTGGGGGGTCTGTCACACTAGACTGCATCCACAAACTGGCTGCAGATTAGATTACTGAGGAGGAGACGTGGGGAGGGGTGTCGAGAGGAAGTGAGAAGGATGGAAGGACAGAGATGGAGGGAGGAGCGACGGAGAAGAATCAAACCATGCGGCGGAGGGCTGGAGAAGAACGCCGGCAAAATGAATAGAAAGCAATCTTTGAACTCATCGGGATGAGGACATCTCTCGTTACCACGAGTCACTGCAGACTGGGGGGGTTTTGGAAAAGAAGATCAATAACTTTTGAAAGTTTTTTTTTTGTATGTATTCGGTGTACGTTTTTGTGGGTTGACTTGCTAGGCTAAAAGACGATCCGTGTGTGAATGACGATTGCGTTGATTGACCATCGGATCACTTTTAATCAACCATGACATTTTTTATGTCATTTTACTTGAACAATGCTTTGATGAAACTAAATAAGACGCTTTCGCGGCCATGAAATGTAGACACGAGTTAATTTTCAAGAAAACGCACGTGCGCGCACGCGCGCACATCCGCATGCACGTCGTTATCGGCGTTCAAATGGTTCGGCTGCCGGGCCAACAAAAGGCTCGACAGGAAGCGACTAATCCTCCATCCAAACCATCATTGCAACAGTGACCACGAGACTCGATCGCATCAGCCAACACACACGCACACACTCGACGCTACGCTAAGCATGCGTGTTTGCGCCACATGCGCAATTAAGGCTGGAGGGAAGGATGGGTTGCTCAAAAGAATGATTAAAAACATTTCAATATTTTGCTGAGAAAGCTCATCTTTTCAGAGAGCGGCTAGCCGTGTACTCTCGGCCTTACACAAGAGTGACAACTGCCACCCTAACAGGCAGGGTGGGTGCGCGCGCACGCGTGTGTGTGTGTGTGTGTGTCGCACAGTTGGGGAATGACGGGGGCAACAAGAGAGGGACAACAGGGCTTTTAACATCTGGCTAAGCACCGTCAGGAAGACAGCCACACACGCTCAGTCCTAATTATTAGAACACTCTTACTTAACTTAACCCTGCCAGTGGAGCGTGACAGGCAGAGCTAGAGAGGGGAGAGGAGGGCCGCCAAGTTGGAGGGCGACAGATTTTTGTCAAGACAAGAGCAAGGATGAGCGTTTCTGTCCCCTCGAATGATTTTTTTTTTTACCTCTCTTGTACGAGGGAAAAAAAAATAGAGGGTGGATAAATAAATACACGGAGGGCTAAAAATGAGGGCCATTTGGAGAATTGCAATCCCCAACATGATGTATGATGTAACCATTGTCAATAGCACAGCCACCTTATGCTGTGTTTTCTATGCTATTGCAAATTTATTATATGTATTCTACAAAAGCTAAAATTGCTAATGCTATATTTTATATTGCACTTATATTGAACTGTGTACAGTTCTTTTCTGAAACGTTTATTTTGCGCAGTGATTTTTTTCAAATTTTTTTTCTCCCCCCCCCCCCCCCCCCCCAATTTTGCTGCTGTAGACTGCAAATGTCCCCAGTGTGGGACAAATAAAGGTTATCTTATCTTATCTTACGTTCCACAGTCCCCTTTTTTATTTTTTCAATCACATCCAAACTTTGCGCTACAACACCTCAGTCCAAAACGACGACTCTTCTCTGCAAACGTGTGGAAGAAAAGGAAACGAAATAAAGCAAAGAAGCGACAGAAACAGATTAAAAAAAAATCCAAAACGGGCTGACCTCTTGTTGTGCGAGAAGACAGAATGTCTGTGACACCTTTAAAGGGAAAACAAGGAGGGAATGCGACAAGCAACGCGGCGCTGTGCCCATATGATGATGACGACAGCGTGAGATGGAGTTCCGGCGTCAAACCTTTCTGAAATATCTGCTTTGATATCTTGAGAATTCCTTTGTAAGGAGGCCTAACCGACTTCTTTTATTCAACCACCGTCCAGTTGATTTGTCTAAATCAACTTGCCGCAGCACCGGAAAACATTTGCGCATCCTGGTTCTCGTACTGTTTCCGAGCCCGATATTCCGAGTGATCGTTCAAAGTGGCAAGACGAGCTGCGCCGGGTTGGGCAGGGGTGCATCTGTCGACCTTGTAATGCGGTGCGCAGAGAATCCAAACAAACAGTCCGCAGCTGTCACACATCGAAAAGGGAGGGAGATGAGGCTCTGAGTGGGAACAAGACATCGAGGAAAGATGGAGAGATGTGTAAGATCCCAAAGAAAACAACGACGACGGCAAATGCCGGAGGCCGAGGCAAGCGCGTGCAGCGCCGAGACGTACGAAAAAAAAAATCTTGCTGCCAACAAACCAATGTGCCGAAACTCTCAACACACCGATTCCGATCACAGACAATTCCCGTGTCATGTTTTTCTCTTTTGTTGTTTTTTTTTTTTCTCCAAAGAATCCTCTTTTGGATTCGATACGCTTTGTATGAAAGCATTATCATATACATTTAGTGAACGTAATCCCATTTACATTAATATGACACGTCTTGTCCAAAAAGGGCATGATGGGGCCTTTCGGTGCAGGTTTAGCAGTTGATATGTTGGCGGCTTTGGTTAAAAGCCATCGTGTCTGCCTGTGCATTGGGGGGATTTGGGAAGGCTTTGCATACCGGATGCCGCTTGAAGCATTTTGCACCCAGATGACAGACGTGCACGCGGGGAACTTGGAGATGGTCTACTTTTCACTTTTCAAGTTGGTGGATGAGAAGATTTGGGAAAGAATTCCTTCACACGTCTCGGATTATGTGTCATGAGAGATGATTGGGGTCCCCAACCACCGG